GGATTCCGTAAGGATCGGTCGTGCACAGACCAAATTGCAACACTACGGATCATCGTCGAACAATCAGTTGAGTGGAACTCATCACTATACATCAACTTCATTGATTATGGAAAGGCATTCGACAGTGTAGATAGGAGGACATTATGGAAACTTCTTCGACGCTACGGAGTTCCTGAGAAGATTGTCAATATTATCCGGAACTCATACGACGGACTACAGTGCAAAGTAGTGCATGGAGGACAGCTGACAGATGCATTCCAAGTAAGGACCGGGGTCAGACAAGGCTGTTGACTCTCTCCCTTCCTCTTTCCTCTGGTGGTCGACTGGATTATGAAGGCCTCGACATTTGAGGGAAAACACGGAATACAATGGACAGCTCAGAATCAATTAGACGATTTGGACTTCGCAGATGACCCAGCCTTCCTATCACGTACACACGAACAGATGCAGATGAAGACAGCCAGTGTAGCAGCAGTCTCTGCATCAGTAGGCCTCAGCATACACAAAGGGAAAACCAAAATCCTCAAATTCAAAGCGGAAAACAGCAATCCAACAAGTGCAATGTCAAGAAGGAAGCATCATCGATGAACAAGGAGGTTCAGATGCAGACGTAAAGGCAAGGATCGGCAAACCAAGGGTCGCATTCCTACAATTGAAGAACATATGGAACTCAAAACAACTTTCAACCAATATCAAAGTGAGAATCTTCAATACGAACGTCAAGGCAGTTCTACTGTATGGGGCTGAAACTTGGAGAACTACAACAACCACAATCAAGAAAGTACAAGTATTTATAAATAGCTGTCTACGCAAGATACTCAACATCCATTGGCCGGATACCATCAGAAATAGCCTTCTGTGGGAGAGAATAAACCAGCTTTCAGCGAAAGAGGAAATTTGGATAAGACGATGGATATTGATAGGGCATAGATTACGAAAATCATCAAACTGCATCACGAGGCAAGCCCTAACTTGAAATTCTGAAGGGCGGCGAGAAAGAGGAAGGCCAAAGAACACCTTATGTCGAGAAATAGAAGCAGATATGAAAAGGACAAATAACAACTGGAAGGAGCTAGAAAGGATTGCCCAGGACAGAGTTGGATGGAGAATGATGGTGAGCGGTCTTGCAAGTCTTAATTTAAGACTCGAATGGCAGACCTTATCAAGGGCTTTACTTAGATCTTAGAAAATTGCATCTACAAGAATATTTCGATCTTTTGCTGCAGCACAATCTTCTAGTGCAATGAGCAAATTTGTCAAACGTGATAAGTCCTTGCGAAAATCATGTTGTTCCCTGGATAGAAGATCAGGTCCCTTCAAATAGTTTATAACAGCCATCCGAATAATTTTTTCCACTAGTTTTACAACTGCACTGGTTATACTAGCGGGTCAGCAGTTACTAATTCAATCTTTACTCCCGTCTTATTCACCCGACTGATTATTGCATTTTTCCAATATCTTGGCAGCCTGAACTGACCCAGGGACATATCAAACGGTACAACTATAGGTTCAGCAATTATATCCGATAGGGCTTTCATAATCCTAAGATGAATGCCATCAGATCCACTGGACTTACCTGGTTTGAGGTGTCAAAGTAGTCTTAAGACAGTACCTCTCTTGATCCATCAACAGGCCGCCATAATCACAGTTAATCGTTGGTCGTTACTCACTAGTGATAGAAAACACATTACTGAAATATTACGATACAGCATCAGCTTTCACGACATCGTCTCTTGTCAATATTAATGGATTTTCTTGTACCAAAAGTGATGGAATTCTATCAGTTCTCTGAGTTCGCCTTTTTATATGTGGGAATAACCGTTTCAGACTATTTTCACAATCTATAACCACTTGTTTTTTACACAATTGTCTAGCGTTGCTTACTAACGCTTTACAGGCGTTTCTATTCTTAAAATATCTGGACCTGTAGTGTAGGATCCAAACCACGTTTGGACTGCTGGACAGCTGCCTGGATAAGTTGGATACGCGCCCTCGCCCGTTTGAAACCAAAACAAGGTAATTGGGTAAGATAGCGGTTCTATAATTTATCATAAATTTAAGTATACATTATTACCTAAACAAATATAACCACACAGCTATCCAACCAATAATTGTTTAATTGATCAAATCTAAACTACAATAAATAAGAAAGTTGATAAAGAATGCAAGAAAATTACCAATCACCACAAATAAATGTTATTCTATCCTGTCTGGATAGATCACATACAGGTTCGTTTAAAAGGTAATAATTGGTCGCTCTATAACACAGAGTGTTTTCAATTCTGGAAGAGTGCTTCAATTCACAACCAAAATGCACAATTCCAGTCAACACAGGTCAAGCAATCAAAAGCAGGAACCAACCCAAATGGCTGCCGCTCAGACTTAGTATAAAGTAAAACAACATAAGTGCAGTTCGGGAAGAAACATGGGGAATTAGTGAAGGTGTGGTAAAAACAAAAACTATAATAAAATACAAATATTAACAATTCAAATGTAGTCCAAAAGTTAACAATGTACAACTAAGAAGATCGATAGGAACAAAGTACAAGTATATACATGGAGGGATTTTCACCAACACATAAAACCTTCCAAATGGATCTTACATGTAGTAGAGATAAACACATTCCAATACTTTTTCCTACTTTTGAGAAGTTTATCAGCTTGTTTACTTTTCTATGGTGTACTATTATTCGGTCAACGTGGTATTAGGCATGCTATAAACGAGGATGTAACTGAACTATGCTTGCCTTTAAATATAGACCATGCTTCTTCAACTGATGAGCTAGTATCTACAAACCAATCTGTTTTAGCAGCGCACCCCTGAATGGCTGATGTTAGCTCTCTATATACTTGGGCGAGGTTTAACCTGATCGTTTATTATGTTACTAGCTCTAAACGTGAAAAACAAAACGGAGTGATCACTACTCACTAGTGGTGGGCGAATATTTAGGTTGTCAATACTCGCAGTCACACGAGTGAATACCAAGTCTAACAAAGAAGGACCCTGGTTAGCACCAAAACGAGTGGGTCTGGATACATGATATACTATTGCATGTTCAAGTACCGAAAACCTGATGACAAAGAAGTTTATGAATCCTACCATGACCACCTCAGTCCAACTAATAACACGTGCAACAAAATCTCCTAATATTAAGTATCTGTTATTTGTACTCCATAGTTGAATGTGCTCTAAAATAAAGCTATCATCTAAGCGGATTGGGCTACAATATATGACACAGAGTATAAATGTAAAACATCTGATAGTGAGCTCACAGCTAATGACTTCACAAGTTACACTATCACGGGATTCGCAAGCAAACGAGCGGATATTTATATTATCAGCTATCTATAGAATGATACCACCCCCCTTCTACATCTATGTCTATCACTACTTAGGTAGTGGTATCCGGATAATTCTGAAGTAATGTCGAAGTCTGGACTAAACAAGTTTCTGTTACGGGCTACAATGAGTGACGTTAATTTGTCCACTGCTACTTCTAGTTCTTAGACTTTATCCCTTTGACCACGAGCATTTGCATTTTAAACTCCTAGGGAGAACGGCCTATCCATGCAGGCCTTCATAGCATTCCTTTTCAAGACTTGACTGTTCGAAAACCGGCGGCCTGCTTGAATATCTGGGCTACCTGTTCCTCCGATCTGGATATTTCATCAAGTTATCTGTTTTGTTGTTTGTTTTAGCACATCACTATGTCTATTGTGCGCACAACCTATTCAGGCGCGTTTATGAAAAGTTTACAACCTTTCGCTATACGGGATACAAAAAGATACAATCAGCGACATCATGGTTGCTGGCAATATGCAATGAAACAAATGAACAGTAATCAAATGTGGATTACCGAACTTCTAACATCTAACTGGTCATCATTCAAAATTTATCGTCACAATCGATCAAGGTATAAGAAAAGGAAACTTATTGAAATACTTTATGCTGAGAATTCTATGTTGTACCAAAAATATAATGTTGAATAAAGTTTCTAATAATAATAATAATAATCGGAAATTCCCCTGTGGACAGGTTTCTAATTCAGCTGGTATTGTCTTCCTTTTTATTCTATCTCCATGAGGCATATCAGGTTTTACTCAAATGTCGGTATTGTCGTGACTACGAGCGCTACTTAAAAGAAGATAAGGTTGCTACTGTGACCCTAGGATTACCTTAAGGTGCCTATATGATCGTGATTCAACACTGCCGTCTTTCTTCTTACAGGATAAAGCTAATAGGCCCATGGCCTCCTGAATCAGTAACGTCTTATTTGTACAGTAAAACAGACAAAGCCAAAACTGGTAAGGCTTTGAGAAATGTTCGAAAAAGATTCTTTTGTTTGCAGTTGTACTTAAACGGGTACACATCTTGTGGAACCACTTTTTACACTCATTTTATTGCATTCTTTACTCGACGGGGAATGAAAAATTTAGCTGTCCACACTTACAAGTACTGCCAACCATTGTGATTAGATTAGAGTTTGAGACTCTATATGAACACAAGTGTCAGAGTCAATGAAGAAGAAGGTACCATAGGACAAAGTTTATCAAAAAATCATACCTTAACTGAAATACTTCGAACTAAGACTATGGATGCTTTTTGGAGCAACAAGTACAGAAAATCAAAGATAATCACAACAAATACTAAATCACTTTCCTTTTTTGATTTTCCCAGCCCAGTTGTTCCATTACCGTTGGTTCACAGAAAATAAAACATTGTTCATACTTGTTTGTGACAGGATTTCTTCCAGCAAAATTCATCACAAAGTCCATAACCATTTATTCTTTTGCTAGTTCATATTTGTTTACCGGTATATGTGCAATCAATATTCACCACCAAAACCTCGGTAAGAAGCTTTTCAGATCACATATTCTGTCCAATCATACAATTTTGAATATTGATCATGAACAACTTTTCTGAGGTCTAAATGATTACTTTTATTCGGCGGTCTTTTAATTTGGGATGCTATGTTTTTGTGACTTTATAGGGTTTTAGCATGTCGATTGAGCCAACAAGGTCACAGCAATGGCTTCATCATGATTCACAACTGGCTGCCGATGCTGGGGTAACATTTGAACTTCAATATGTTGGTGCCATCCCAGTGCTGACATCCATAAAATCTGTGAATATAAATATCAGAACTCGAATTTGTCGGTAAGGTTTAACTTTGAAACGGCTTGACTGACTTTATATTTGATTTATCTTTGTTGCTGCTTTTTACGATCTAATGTATTAATTATGTAACTCATTTGCGATGGTAGCCACAACCATATTCACATACACTTCATCCGTGAAGTTAAGTCTCGACTTGTTTGGGAGCATATTATTCATTTGTAATCTGTAAGGATAATTCAGTAGGAATACTCACCTGTTTTTTTAAAGTCATAATTATCGTTTTATGATCAAGTCTAATCTAGTTTAATCTATATGAAAAAGTAATCGTCAAGATGAAGAACTGAAACATACTACTACGCCTCTTCATTTTTGCCTGCAACATATAGTGTCTATTCCGGTCTAAATAACTTCAAATATGGAGCGCATTACTATGCTGCGTTGCATGAAGCATGTTCCTGGAGCATATTCGGATGTTCTCAAAATGTAAATTTGTATGTCAGTAAAAGTGGCAAAACATTCTGTTTCGACACGTAAAAGGTTTGAAAATAGTAAAAGTAAGGATAGATTCACTGCTGTTAAAAGTAAATATGTATAGTGTTCTAACATAAATGACTGCACATATCGCCAGTTTAATTTACTATTTCTCCATTAATATTTCCATTCTCTTCTTAGTCATAAATACTGATACTCAGTTGTTTTGTTTCGTGTTCAGTATTGCTAGCAATTATCACTTCACACCTGCTGATATGGAGTAAACGTTCTATTAGGGCGACTTTAAGAAAGCTAGATTGACGTTCATATTTTCACTGTCCGGGAAATCTAACCAACGAATGACAGTTTAATGCCATTTATATTTTAAAATACTTCTAGTGCTATAGTGTTTCTCTTTTGTTTCCTCAATTTTACCGCTTTTATGTTTAATAAGATGGGGTTTCTAAAGATTCCATTAATTCATGAGAAATCTAACTGTCTCCACGGTCCGGTACATCGAGTATTGTGACCATCTGGAAGTTTGTGTTTTCAAGATTCTCTACTTATATTTATCTTCTAAAGAAATATCTGGTTATCATTATGCATAAATCCAGGCTACTAATTCAACCAGTATATTTTAGATCTGTAACGTATCTTACCTAATTATGTTTGAATAATTTGTTATCACTAATTAATTGCATGTGTATTTACCGATATTGTTATTGAGTGATAGAATTTTTCGAAACTCATAAAATGTTTACGTAAGGTTTTCAGGATCCCAAGCTTAAGAAGTCTCTACTTGTTAGTCTAGACAAACACAGAAGGACGGAGTACGTTTCTGGCTAGATGAAGGTTTCCTCTGAACTCACATCAGTGTTTATCGGTTTTGAAGTCGTGAATGACAATATCTAGCTTTAAATAGAAAATTCGATGTTAGTGCTTCATCATAAACTGACTTTTGTGATCATACACAGACCACAGTAAGTTATTCTCATATACATACTGAGAATAAACTGCTTTTAAATGCTACACTCAAAGACGTCAGTAAGTAACAGGGAACCTGGGATACATGTGTGCATCAGCTCAGTAAAATGAAGTCATGATAAATACCAAAGTAATAGAAGTAATATCAGCAGAAGTAAAAAAAAGGAGCATAGACAGAATATATGATTCGAACAGAAAAAATAGGCTGATAGAATATAAGGTGTAAAATAATTTCAAGAGTTAGAATCTAATGGAAGATATAGTAAATGTATCTGTATTGTTGCGACCAATTCTGAACGCTCTTGCGCAACTTCTGTAATTATTTGCCACAGTAGTCACGCAAAATACGAAGTGTCTTCATATATTTCTATTTTTATTCAACCAAGATTTACATGTAGTGGTGATTAATGTAAATGAATATCCCAACTAATTACTTGTAATCGCTTGTTTTGAAGTAAGGTAAAGTTGATATAAAGCATCATAATATTTTTCTGTTTTTTATTTTGCTTTCAAGCTTTTGTTGATTTCTCGAAATATTCATTATCAAATAATACATCCTATGTTGACTAATCGAATTTCATTGTGAAAATTGATTCATAAACTTCAGTCGGCATGAGTGTTTAGCTAGTTGTTATCGATGTAACGTTTAATTTATGCAGAGTTAGCCTCTCAAGTTAGAAGGCAATAAGAATTGTCCACATACTCTTAAATTCTCCCATATTTCTCCTTGCAGTGCATCAATACGTCGTGTATGTGAAGATGTTGGTCTAAAACTACCAAGTAACCAACCACCTGACAAGTCAATAAAACAGTTCATTGGCCCATCCACTGATATGACATGGGCAATGGCAAACGTATACCTTACAATCACATCACAAACACTAACTGTTGAAACAATCGATAATGGTGTGGTATGTGGTACATCTAATTTTTGCGTTTTGTTTTGGGTAGATGCTTTCGTTAGATAAGCGATGAAATCTTAAGTTATGAAATTGATGAGTATTATTTGTTAACAGTTCTGTCAGAAATTGTTCTTATGACGTTGAAAGGTATTGTATGAATTGATGTTGAAAGAACACTTATTATTAGACATATAAACCAACTGAGAGATAGAAATGTGAGCAAGTCATCGAAACCCAAACCTTTGCCAATGGAAATATTATGTGATACATTTAATATTCCACTACCACCACAACAAGTTGAAATGAAAAAAATAAGCCGAAACCAAAAGCTAGCAGCAACTCATAAAGACAACCAAACAAACGGCATTTTTTCAAGTGGACCCAAAGGTGAAGACGTACGACCAAACTTCGCGAGGGTGATAATGTTTGGGCAAGAATGATAATGGCTGGTTGACTCCGTAGTCAGACTTGTAGATAGTCTGACAGGTACTAGATGAGTTATGCATTCCATTACCATTATCATAATTGTCCGTTTTGGGTGCTGAAATATATTTACGTTCTAGCCAGGCTAGTCACGTGTTTTTGATCTGAGTTGTGTTACAGTCCTGTAAAATAGACACTGGGAGAGAATCTAATTTACATATTCGTCTAAGGTAAATTAACGTCCCATTCGTGTGACGTGGAAAACCGAACGTTATAAAAGATATGGTACAGGAAGAAAGGAGTAGTTCGTAGAAAGAAAGGTATAAAGTAATTTTAACTTCGGTGTTTAAGTGAAGACGAAGAGTGTATACACCTACGCCATTGTGATCGATTCTGAGCCATGTCACCCACAGTCTCTAACCATTGGTTACGATAGTCACGCGGACCCTAATCAAGTAGTCTGCATCTACCAACATGGCTCAGACAAAGTTAGTGACTCCAAGTACTGATGCCACGTCTTAGTTGGGCCGCTCCTAACTTTCTACCAACCATCCCCAACACTAGTCAGCATTGCGCGTCGTGGTAATCGGTGTTCAGGCATACGTAACACGTGGCCCAACCATCTCAGTCGATGAAGATTCACAACCTCATCAACTGATTTACCACCATTCCCTAATACTCTGCGTCTAACCTCACTATTACTTACCCGGTGATCCCAGCAGATACGAGCAATATTTCTGAGACCTCTGTGATCAAATACTAGTAGCTTACGCGTATCCTCTACCCTTGATGGCCACGTTTCACAGCCGTGAAGCAGAACAGAACGAACTGCCGCGCAGTATACTCGTTCTTTTATTGATAGACGGATATCTCGCCTTCACCATAGGTGACGTACGTTGGCAAAAGCCAAACGAGCCTTTCAAATCCGTGCTGAGACTTAGCCAAACACCGACCCATTAGGGCTGGCCAGACTTCCAAGATAAGTGAAGTTGTCGACGCATTCGACTACTTCACTCCCTATCCTTAGTTCAGGTGTTGACGCAGACCAATCCTGAAGCAACAACTTGCAATTAGAGGGGAAGAAGCGCATTCCAAACATTCTGGCATTGTTGCTTAGTGCTACCAAAAGACTGCATTTTATCAACGTCTTCGCCAAACAGGACTGTGTCGTCTGTGTATTCTAAGTCGATAAGTGGACCTCTTGGAAGGAGATCATTGCCCGAAAATTCAGTCGACGAGAATGTTATTTCCATCAGTAGGTCTATGATGAAGTTAAACAAAAATGGAGAAAGTGGACAGCCTTGACAGACACCACTTGATGTTGCAAAAACAGGTGACAGTTCGCCATAAGCTCTGACTCGACTAGTAGTGTTCGAGTAAAGAGCCTTCACAAGATTTATGTACCTCTGAGGTGCACCTTTCAATGACAGACACTGCCACAGAAGCTTTTGGTCTACAGTCATATGCTGCTGCTTTTCAGTCAACAAAAACTGTCATTGTCGGACACCGATAAGCATGCATGTGTTCTGAAACCGGACGAATGGTGATTATGTGGTCGATGCAGCCACGACCAGGTCTGAAACCAACTTGATTCTCTCGTGTTTTCAGTTCACGAGTCTTTGTTGGGCGTCCGATAATTATTGAGGCTAGTATTTTAGATGCTATATTAGTTAAACTAATCTCTCTATGGTTGTTATAAGATGATTTTGACCCTTTCTTATACATTGGGATGATCAGTGATTTTGACCAGTCAAATGGGATTACGTCTAACTACTAGATTTTAGTTAAAATACTAGTCAAGTTAATCGCTAAAACTGGACCACCGTAGTTAAAGTCTGTTATGTCCCAAATAACATAATGAATGCAACTTTGGGATCCCTTTATGTACCAATACTTAACGTATATTTTTATCGTATAATTGTTAAATAACTAAACTATTCATATTCCTCTTATTATAAACTTTATTTTGACTTATGAACCATTATTATACTTTTTAACATTCTTGAATTATGCCCTGTCTATTAGTCACTGCCTCCCACATTCACAGCCACATTTGGCCAAATTTTGTACAAATGTTATTTTCTATTTTATGGTACGTTGTGGTCTGTTTGATTGGTATATAAACCAAGTATGTTTGAAATATATGATTTCATATTGCAGAAGCTGATACTGGTGTTCTGGACTTAACTGGCTGGGCTAGGCGAAAAGCAGGATATATCAGGGCTCTAGGCTGCTCGCACGTGTTTTACGCGTCCTTAATCCGATCGATAATTCGCTGCTTCTGCTTGGCGGCTTTAGGCTATAACAAAGACATCTGAACCAGCTGCTCGTTACAGACTAGCTATGGCTTTTTGAACTTCAGCTGGAATCGGGTGCCTACTTCAATGTTCCAATGCTGACTGGTGTTGGGGATGACTGGAAGAAATTTAGGGGCGGCCAAACCTAAACGTGGTATCTGTCCTTGAAGTCATTAACTCCTGGTCTTAGACATGTTAGTAGATGCTGGCTACTTGATTGGGGTCCGCGTGACTATCGTAAACAATGGTTGGAGACTCTTGGAGACATGGCTGAGAATCGATCACAGTGGCGTAGGTGTATACACTCTTTCTACGAACTAAATGCAAGCATGTTCGGCATGCGATTCTCCCCCTCGAAATGCAAAATGTTGCTTCAGAATTGGGTTTCATCGACACTAATGATACTAATGGTAGGGAGTGAAGTAGTTGAGCGTGTCGACTGCTTCACTTATCTGTGAAGTCTCATCAGCCCTTGTGGTCTGGTGTGTGACGAAATCTCAGCACGGATACAGAAGGCTCGACTAGTCCTTTGCCAACTTGCGTGATTTATGGCGTAGGCGAGATGTCCGTCTACCAATCAAAGGTTGTTTTTTCTGCGCAGCAGTTCGTTCCGTCCTACTTTATGGCAGTGAAACATGGTCGGTAAGAGTAGAGGATATCTGTAGGTTACTAGTATTTGATCATAAGTGTCTTCGAAACATTGCTGGTATATCCTGGGACCATCGAGTAAGTAATATAGTTGTTAGGAAACGGGTACCAGGTAAGGATGGCAAATCGATTGATGAAGTGGTGAAGCTTCATCAGTTGAGATGGCTGGAACATGTGTTACGTATGCCCAACCACCCTGACCGTTGTTGCCACCTTGACGTGGTGGTCGGGCTTGCTTATTGTGATGAAACAACCGAGCTATACTGTCTGGAACAACCGTTCCTCAAGGTCCTATCATGCCAGAGAGGTCGGTTGAAGAGCGGTAAGTCTAAAAGCAACAAACCCAAGGTCCGAAGGCGAAGTCGTACTGCTGACTGTGCAGAGGTGTGACGACAGTAAGGTTTATTCCTTCGGACAACCAGCATGACAGGGTTTTCTCCCTTCCTGCAAGGAGGAGTGGGGTTAGAAGAGGTCGACCCTAAAAATGCACACCTCGCCTTATCCCACGGATATCCGTCTCGTTGTTAAGGTCTCAACAGGTCGGAGCTAACACGAAAATTACTCATAGAAAGGTCGTGTGTGACCGACCTCACGCAGTTGTTCCTTGGGCACTGCGGTCAGTAAGACCACCTTCAATCCAATTTCCTTTTTAGGTACCTACATAAGAACCCTTCCACGGTGTGGGCAACCAGGAAGTGATAACCGCCCTCATACCTCTAACAGCACTCAAGTAGTCGAACGCGTCGACAACTTCACTTATCTTGGAAGTCTGGTCAGCCCTAATGGGTCGGTGTTTGGCTAAGTCTCAGCACGGATTTGAAAGGCTCGTTTGGCTTTTGCCAACGTATGTCACCTATGGTGAAGGCGAGATATCCGTCTATCAATAAAAGAACGAGTATACTGCGCGGCAGTTCGTTCTGTTCTGCTTCACGGCTGTGAAACGTGGCCATCAAGGGTAGAGGATACGCGTAAGCTACTAGTATTTGATCACAGAGGTCTCAGAAATATTGCTCGTATCTGCTGGGATCACCGGGTAAGTAATAGTGAGGTTAGACGCAGAGTATTAGGGAATGGTGGTAAATCAGTTGATGAGGTTGTGAATCTTCATCGACTGAGATGGTTGGGCCACGTGTTACGTATGCCTGAACACCGATTACCACGACGCGCAATGCTGACTAGTGTTGGGGATGGTTGGTAGAAAGTTAGGAGCGGCCCAACTAAGACGTGGCATCAGTACTTGGAGTCACTAACTTTGTCTGAGCCATGTTGGTAGATGCAGACTACTTGATTAGGGTCCGCGTGACTATCGTAACCAATGGTTAGAGACTGTGGGTGACATGGCTCAGAATCGATCACAATGGCGTAGGTGTATACACTCTTCGTCTTCACTTAAACACCGAAGTTAAAATTACTTTATACCTTTCTTTCTACGAACTACTCCTTTCTTCCTGTACTATATCCTTATATGCAATCTTTCTTATATATATTGCCAACATTGTGTTAACTCATCCTATGAATCCGTTGTTCATCTTGCTGTTCTAATGCGGTATGGCAACTTGGACCGATTCATATATGTGCCTGGTCATACGTTGTAGCTGACTGGCATCCCAACCACCGACGTGTGATGTTTTGGCATGTAGGAGCAGGTTGGAAGAAATCTATGGACGGCCAGAACAAAACATGGCACAAATCCATGATGTTACTGCCAAGTAGACTGAGTAATGTTGGTAGATGTAGACTACCTGGTTAGGATCCGCGAACTGATGGCAACCGATGGTTAGAGACACTGTATGACATGGCTCAAAATCGTTTGCAATGGAGCAGGTTCATCCACTCTTTGTGTTCTTCCAAGTTCTAATCTTCTGAATTCTTCATATCCCGTTCTTTTTTCTCTTTCCATATTTAATTCACTGGATTATACTCCTTGAATAACATCTTATAACCCTGGTCTTTTCGATTACTGCTTATACTTTTACTACCTCTACCACTATGGGATTTGAATAGACAACTGCATCTCTGTGCTAATGTGGTATGGCAACTAAAATTGATATGTGTATGTCCGAAATTCTACGTTGTTGCTGACTGACTGATTCCAGCTCTGAATGCGAAGCTTCAGAAACAGATTCACATTCGATAAGAATCTTGAGTGAGTTGAATAAGACACTACTATTTCATAAGACCACAAGCTATTACCCTCAATCGTATTGGCGTGCGTACTTGTTGGGTACGGCCTTCGAATTAGTAGTAAACGTAAGAGCTGACAGCTTGAGCTAACATTTAGTAGTCGATCGTAGTACATTTTTTAAATCTTTTATGACTAAGATACTACGGCTTTCCACAGTTCTCCATTTTTCCACTCGTTTGCTTCTCGATCTCTTATCAACATAACTGATCCTGACCGTGTGGTTTTCTACGCTTTACTTACTATTGATTTTCCTTTCTTTTTGCATTGGAATTTATCGTGCTTAGATTTAATTGGTGAAAATAGGTATTTGTCTTCGCAATTCGGTAAAATATGCGTCAGTATTTACTTCAATAATTAGTGGTGGGTGAACTTATTTTAACGTATGATAATATATGTTCACTTGACGTTATTTAATAATTATTTCTTTTGTTTTATTTATTCAGTTATTATTCCAGCACAACCTATTCCTGGTTTCTTTTGCTTCCACTGGGGATGCAGATACACCAGATTTCATTTGTTTGTGGCCAAAACAGATCAAGACACTCGTATGTGTTACGTTTTTGAATGTTCAGATGGTCTTGCCCAGGATGTAATTATTACAATCGGACAAGCATTCCAGTTAGGATATCAGGTGAATATTAACACGAATTCACATCTGCGAATTGTCATGGGCACTTGTCCTTTAGATTGTAGTTTCTCACCCTAAGTTTTGATGTAGAATGTTTCATGAAGCCTAACCAGGATTCTGGTCGTTAGTATAGCTTACTGATACTGTAATAACTATTGATAACGTGTAGCAATTTAAAATAGATAGCTTAACATCAATAGCCATTTTCAGTCGCTGAGATTATTTCAAATATAATTTTCACATATTTTAGCAGACTTTAGTCAATAGGAGTAAAAATATCTAAAATTTAGAAGAAAAGATTGCTTAATTTATTTCCTTGTCTGAGATGAAATGTAGCCACTTAAAAAGATGCATGCTTGTGTTATATTTTAATTTGTAAGTGCTAGTTTAGTGTTTTGATCACTGGGTCTTATGTCCATATCTCATCCGATTGAATTCGCTGTGAGCAGCCGAGTTGTATCTTCAGAACACAGTGTTAAACTTAAATCCGAACGCGTAAACCTGTAAATGAAATAAACATTTTTATGGTTGGTGACGAAGCATGTTAATTAGTATAAGAATCCAGCGTTTCTGAATATGTGAACATAAAAATGGTCATTTATAGATGGTCCTTTATTTCATACGCTTTGTTATAAAGAATAAATTTAACTTGTTATCAAATCATTCCAATCTTTTTATTCAACCGTTTAATTCAGTATATCATCAGTTATGGTTGGTAAAGTAAAGTAAACTAAATCATTACATTTTTGGCCAAACTCCAGTCTACTATTGTTACTTTTCATCAAATTTCACGTAGTTTAGTTCCTTCGTGCTCAAACTATGCCTTGCATTATTGGTTGATTAGTGCTGTAATATTACTAGTTTGTAATTTGATCTTAATTATCATAGGTAAACCTGTATAATAAACTTTGAGACTGATGGACTAACGAATAAACAAGGCTGATAAAAAGTGTATTAATACGATCGTACCCATGTGTGTTATTTTCCTTAGTTTTGTATATTCAATTTACCCTGATCAGATAGAAAAGGAGCAGTTATATTATTTAACTTATCAGACGTTAGTAAACAGTGAACTTTTAGACCATTTCCAAAGCTATTTTCACAACAAAAAGCTTTCACAATTTAACATTATTCCTTATTTTATTTTATCAATATACTGTCCTAACTACTCTCTATTTATTTTTGTATAAATATGAACAAAATTAGGATTTCAAAAATTCTAAACCTCAAAATGTTAATAAACAAACATCTTTGGGTTATGTGACTATTTGTTGTGATTGCATGACTGGTAGTTAGATGTTTTCGGAAGCCGAATTGTGTCGGCGGAATTCGGTCATCTGTTTGTTGTATCAATCTGTTACAGATCATTCCAGAGAATATTTTGCTCAGTGTGTCTAGTAGCAAGATACTTCTGTGCCCTTGATGCAAAGAAAACTCTGGTCACTACCTTTGTGGACTTAACGAAAACCTTCAGTACCTTACCAAAATAATTAACCTTGAATGCGCTAACAGAAGCATGTCAATCACAAATCATAAACTCGTGCATAGCAAAACTGCTAGACAATCCAAAAGGCTTACTAAGAAACGCAAACTTAAACTTCACCATGTGTAGAGGAGTAAAACAGAGAAGCAAAGAAGGTTCTATCCTGTTCAATCGAGTCCTCAAACGTATTCTAGAACACACAATTGATTGCACTTTGAAAGAAATTGACCTGAAAGAGAACAATGAATCCTGGTCAATCAAACATTTGGAATACACCGATGATCTCTGTATAACAACTAATGACACGGAAGAAGCTACCATTGAAGTCTTAACTTCTTTCTGTGCTTGATCTCATCTTTTAGTCGCTGATTTTCGGAGATTTGCTGTTAGTGTTGCAGCTTGCATAATGGATTTTTCTATTTGTATCAAATCATTTGCTTCATCTATTAGATTATTATTCCGAAAAGTTTAAGACCAAACGGACTAAAAGCATTCAGCAGTGTCATCGCAAGACATCTCCCTGACACAGGATACGAAGTCGATACACTGAAGTCCTTCAAGGTGATTAACAAGCAATCAGACTCAAACCTTTTGAAATTTGCCGAAGCGATAGCAATCAAACGTCTAAAACAAGATCTATGTTTACAAAAAGAAACAGTAATAAATCTTCCTTTGCTCTGCTAACATTACCCTCCCTTATTTATTTATTGCGCCATTCATTATTCCAACTCTTCCTGAATTTTAAAATTACATCATTCATTACTGACTGATTTCAATTCATATCTTTCCTGAGAAAATTATATATATATATATATATATATATATATATATATATATATATATATATATATATATATATATATATATATATATATCATCTAATGTGTTTTTCAATTCCATGCGTTCTAATCACTATTTCAATGTTCTGGAACCTTTTCTCCCAAACTTTATTTATTCGAAACGAAATTTTATGACCTCATTAACTCTATCAGTATCTTCGCTTCATCATAATACATATATTCCTCCCTAATCACCCCCTCATCTGTATGTTGTGAGGTAGGTTGTGAGCAGCTGAGAACCTAAAGAAATAAAATGAATTCATATTATTCTGCTCCGATCTTTGTTCTTGCTCATAAATTCATCTATACCTGCTGAAAACAGGTTTTACATTACACTTAGACTGTATATTCCTACTCATCTATCTCATTGATTTTAAAATTGTGTGATATTTTCCCCTATTTGAAAGTGGATTATTCACTTACTATTAAATTATATTTTAAATTTTCATTAATATTACTCTTCTCTACAATATTGTTTATTTTCTTCCAGGTATCTGCCAATACCAGTACTTCCCTATCAAAAGAGAATACGACATTAAATCAAAATACTTCTATGCCTGATAATAATGTTACTCACCAACCAGTAGTTTTTGATAATTTTATGGATTTTGAAGATAGTGCATGTAATGTTTATTTTTATCCATTATTAAGCAATTTGTTTTATTTCAAAAATATAGGTGTCATGAATAAATGCACTTTTGAAACAAAATCAGAACGGAAAGTAAATGTTTAATGTAGTAAAGACTAATAAGTAGTTTTTTTTTCAAAATCTTTTTGTTCAATTCATTTAAATAAAAAAGCAGGATAGTATCAAATGACTTAATATTCACGAAGTAACAATTATTTTATTACTTTAACTCACACTTGCATATTAAGTCCTGCAATACTAAACGACTTAGATCCTAAAACTTTTCCTCCTAATTCACAGTAGTCCTTGTTTATAAGTCCCAATAGGAAGGACTTCCAGAACACAAAATGCACAGTCATTCAATTCAGCTAAATTATCTCCATTGTCGCTTTTGGATGTTAAACTTGGTAGTATCTCCTTCCAGTGTCATCGTCCATGATATGTTGTTAATAGTATAGCGTTCACTTCAGTTCCCTAGAATAAAATCAAACTATCTGAACCATCGATGTGAATATTTAGAAATAAGTTTATCTGTACTACGGATCATTCTCCATTAGTATATTTATTCACCCGTGTTACCAACTACATCAGATTAAAATAGTGAAACAGTTTGTCCTTGCGTACTTGGATTGTCTAATAATGTACTTTTTGTTTTGAATAAATACTATCAATTAAATTATAAATGGTCAAATTATCTACTTTTTCATTTAATTGATTTCGCTCCAATATTTGAGCATCTTTTTTCTAACTTATATCTATGCTGGCATCATTTGCACTGTTATAATGACGTTTATTAATTTAGGTTTTTGATGAGGAAATACTCATGTTAACGTGATCATAATTATTTTTCATTGACACGAATTGCTACAATTGACTCCACCTTAGATTATGTACCACAAGGTTATATATATTTACTATTTTTATACGCAGGGCATCTTGTTAACGAAATTTCTTCGGGTAGTCAGACTGATAATGCAGAATGCAATAAGCCATCCTGTGGCACTACAAAAAATTCCACCCAATCTAATCAAAATGATTTAACACAACAGCCTTCCTGCAACATTAATAAAGTCGCTGGTGTCAAATCAATGTCTAATGTAAAGGCACCAGTTGGACTTCCAAATTTTGAACATTTAGAACCAGTAGGTGAACCTTGGTATGTTGGTAAAATGTCCAGATCACAAGCCGAAAATTTATTGCGTTATGATGGGGATTTTCTTGTACGTGCTAGCATTCAGCAGCCTGGTCAGTTTGTACTAAGCGGCCTTCAAGACGGAAAATATAGACATTTGTTACTGGCCGATCCCAATGGAAAGGTAATATTCTGTTTAACGCAACTTCATTAACCACACCATGTTTGCAAATAAAATTTCATTTATCTGCTGAAAATCTAGCAAGATATTCTTTAGGTTAACATGTTGGAGATAGATCTAATTGTACGATATCAGCTAAACAACCGTCAGATCGAATTTCGTTTTGCCTGACACAGATCTATCAGCCACAGTATTTCGTTAATTTAAACACCCGATTTCCAACCATATGGTTAGGAGTCTGAATCTTGATTTCATCACCTCGATTCGTGTGGTTTTTCCGAAACAAATGTAGCTCAAGTTCAATTACAAAAAAACATTTGGACTCATCTAATTTCAACCTCTAGTGTACGCTTACAAAAGTTCCACGAATAAAATTCAATGTTACATTTCAATTGTTAGTATTTGTATAATAAACTTGTAGTTAATACATTACAAATATCGGGACGATTTTCACTATCTTAAACTTGCTTGGCCCGTTAATTATGTGTAGTAACCACCTAATGTAATCAGATTATTTCACAAAACTAGTGGAAATATCACAGTTGTTGGTGCATTTTCCATGTTGTCTTCTGGGGGAACTAAGGCTGGTTACTTTGGATGTATTAAACATAGATTGAACAAAAAATATCACTAAAGAGGAGCTTGCTGCAATACTACTGGTTTCTGACTAGTATCAAATTGAGGAATTTGTATCCACATTATGGGGAAAAAATTTGTGAATTCTGGATGTCGGAAAATTATGTTTATTAAAATTTTGAACTGGCCTAGATCTTATATGCATGTTTTTGACAAATTTCAGGTACGTACAAAAGAACGAGTATTTGATAGCATACAACATCTTATTGATTATCACGTACAAAATGGTGCGCCTATTCGTTCACTTGACAGCGAAATAAAATTAATATTTCCGGTATCTACACATACATTTTGCATTTCTTAATTCGATTCCGCATGTAAGTTGTAATTACTTTTATGGACTCTCGTTGTCTACAGTGTCCATAACAATGTTTAGTAGCAGGAATGTTTGTAAGGTCTTAACCTCGTATATCAATGAACCCGAATAACATATGCCGTGTTGTGTATTAGCGAGCAACCTTAATAATTATCGACTAGTGTACACCGATTTGCCACCAAAGTTATTACTCAAATTTACGTATATCCTTACGTCATTAAAATGGACACCTACATCGAGAGCGAAACGTACTATAATCTGATTGACAAGCTTGTATGTTAAATCTAAATAGCAAACAGCATGTTTTAATCACCTATTTTTAAAGTAGAATTTGTATGCCAGGTGTTAATTCAGCAATGCATTTTGTCTAAGCGATTTTATTGTCCATTGCTACGATTGATGAAGCTTTTCGGATAAACTAATAATTTTAGCAGTCAACTGTTATCATATTATGTAAATAATCTCCTCAACATCTTTGAATTTCAGGATCTTTGACGTAGGTGCGCAATTTAGTGATAATATACCAACAACTCAACTTTATCTCTGTGATCTAATAACTTTATTTTATATCCCATGCTTATATTGTTAAGTTATGCTTTCTCTATCAACTTTCTATTTCATAACATTCCAAAACTTTGTGTAAATCGACTTACCTACTTTTATACTAAACTTGTGCAACATGCAATAATATTTGGCTGTAATTTATTTTACATCACATTATTTTACTAATGACTTTTTTGTTGCTTTTCTGCAAATTAATCACTGATTTCGCGTAATGACTTCTATAAAAATTCTGTAAAATTTTCTAGACTTCGAAATGAAACGAAAACCAATGTGACATGTTCGTTTTCAAATACATTACCTAATGATTTCACAAATACTGGGTTGTATATCTGTACGAATAGGTATGGTCTGAACTTATCACGGACATGTAAGCACTAAAAATCGTACAGGTACTTAACCCTTCAAGCTCTATACACTAAGTGCTCCATGTGAATCGAAACTGGGAGTAATGGAACGTAGTTCAACAAACTTAACTGTCACTTACATTTTGACATATAACCACCCCTATTTCAAAATACAGTTCAGATCTATTTCATGTGATTTTAACTTGCCTCAATTTGTGAAAAAATTCTAACACAGCAAACGTCAACGTGAACTTAATATGAACTGCTATGTGAACTTTTGTATTTCACTTTAAAAACCTAAACTTAAGAAGAATTATTACTGATGAAATAAAAGAATTCCACAATTTCGGACTTAGTAGAAAATCAAGGAGGAAAACACGTGCTATTGTCACCGGTCTTGAGCTTTATCGCCTATGGTCTCCACAGTTAGTATTTCATAGACAGCATTAGTTCTAGAGAAAATTCCAGTCATGTGTTTATATCTACTTCGTATTACACAACTTCTATTAAGATCGAAAATTCCAAGAATAGTTCGCCAAGCGTTTTCGATGATTCTGGATTTGAATTGTCTGTGGGATATTTCTTTCACACGCTTCTGAATCATCGTTGTTTCATGAGTTTAATTATCTCTGCTAAACTATTTTAACCCAATCCAACGGAACGTTTGTTAAGACATTTAGTCACAGATGTTAAGTTACAGGTCCCAGTTTCGTCTAAATAGCAGATACTTTGTTGAGTTTTAACACAGTGAAAGGAGCGATTGATTCAAATTTTTACCGCTAAAAACAAATAGTCCAACTTCTTACACTTATTTATAAACCAACTACTTCCATGGCTAACCGTAAGCGAATTTCCATACCAAACGCGGCTGGAAAAAAATAACCACATAGATTACAAATATATATATATATATATATATATATATATATACTATTTATAAGATATAAACGTAAGATGAACATAAATTATGACAAATTCATGCATAGCAAAGGTTCATCAGAGTACACTGTTAGCATGCTCATTAACACATTAGTCATTCAGAGTTTAATTTATTCGAAACTGCTGCAGCTAATTCAAAGTAACGACAAAAACGTTGTCTTAATACAATAATAAAACTCCGTATATCTTCAGTCCAATTCAGGTGGTTTACAAGCCTTTCTAGATCCGGTACGGGTGGATCACACAACACGACTTCAAAGCGATTAGTATTTACTATACGAAGTTGACAACAGCATACAATTACTTCATCACTACTAGCCAGAGCTTCCGAACAACCATGAAATAGCAACTGTAGTAGCCCAGAGTGCGTTTTCTGTATTTGAATTCCAAGGAGGCGTTCGAATGGTTGGATCATTTTATAAACTTGCATCAGTGTAGAATTTTCAAATTCACATGGGAAAAATGAATCTTCAGGAGGATTTTCAGATTCAATTTGTTTCAAGTAAGCGATCTAGGAGGACAAGCAAACCAAATTTATGAGAGGCTTAGTTGAAAAGTCCAAGTATAAAGCACACGTGTGATAGGTACAATGGTTGTAAAATAATACCGTTAAATTTGCAATTAAGTTTTGGCAAGTACGTTGATCAGTAATGTAAAATGAAGCTCATTTTTCAGCTGAGTGTTTTGTTTCCACTGGAGAACTAAGATATGACGTACCGCAATTTTTATTTACGATAATTACGTTAAATGAACCCGACTACAGCTGCTACCTAGATGTGGTGGTCGGTCTTGCTTATCGTGACGACTCAACCGAGCTATATTGTCTGGAGCACATGTTTATGCTCGGATCATGCTCTAATTCCGGCACATATCTTCCTGCATTTTACTGGACGTAGAGAAGCCACAGCGAATAAACTCCTTAGAGTACAAATTGGTCATGAAAAAAATTAAGAACATATTTCAGGAACAACTGGAGAAGAAACTAGTCAACCGTCTAAATGATATCCATTTCGAGGTCAGTGAGTTGCAACGTAGGACCAGGCACATATATGCATTGGTCCAAGTTGCCACACTTATCAGAACAAGATGAACACCAATTCGAGGTAATTGTGTATGGCATCCACAAAGCTGTGGAAACAGCAGTGATATCTACCAGTAACTTAAACCAAAAGGCTAGGGAAACCAGTGGATTTCAGCGGTGTCTACAGAACTGATAGATTCTTGGAAACTCATTCCGTCTGGCTCAGAACACGACGAGGAGCGGAGGCAGCCTAAACGTAGGCTGGTTAAAAACCTACGTAATGATCGTGAGCAATGGTAGGCAATAGCAGACAACTGTTCAGACTTATCAAGGAAGTGGGTTTTAGGAATACATATACATATGCGCCACACAAATCTCATTTAATTTGTGTGAGGGCTGTGATACTGCTCGGATGCCCAAACCGAAGCAAGGAATACGACTGTCAGTGAAACTGTTTCGGAAAAAGACGGGACCATTATTCATTCTCAATCCAGAAGATTAAACCGATAAGCAGAACACTTTGGAGAACAGTTCGATAGGCCTTTCTTCACACTTCAACTTGGACTGATGTATATATGTGCCTAGTCCTACGTTAAAGCTGACTGACTGACACAGTTACCCACTATCTTCATGCAACATGAATGGCAAACTGATGTAAGTCCTCCAACTCTTAGTGAGGTTGGAAATACTATAAGCAATCTAAAGCCAGAGAGGGCAACAGGACTTGATGGACTAATCTTTGAGGTCTTTTAAGGATGGTGGTCCAGTTTTCAGCAGTCAAATCAACTGAGATCTTCGCTAAAATCTGGGAACTGGATGAAATCTCATCTGACTGATCATCTCAGTTTATAAGAACAAAAATCTTGTGATAATTACGGAGGAATAAGTTTAACCAATATAGTGTTTGAAATATTAGTCTCAATAACACTTTGACGTCTAAGTAGAGTTCGTGAGTAGCGAACCCAAAAAAAACCAGGTTGGTTTCAAACCTGGATGTGGATGTATACACCAAATATTTACCCTTTGGGAGGTTCTGGAACAGGCATACTTCTGGATACCCAACAATAGTTGTATTTCTTGACCTTAGGGTGGCGTTCGGCTCCCTTGATCGAGATGCTGTTGCAGCAGTTGTCATTGAAAGAGGTACTAAAGAAGTGCACTAACGTAAGGTTTTTGGGTGCAGTCGATAGGACACCCACGTTTTGTGCCATTCGGCACTCGTCATTAAGGTGCAACTGTAATCTCGCGGAAAGTAATGCTCCCTGGAGGATTCGATTACATGTCACACAACCTCACACTCAGATGTTACCACGGAGCTATCCGGGCTGCAACTGATCTCTTGTAGGACTGAGATGTATTCACATTGCAACCTGATCGATGGAAATCGATCCGCACTAAGGACCCGACACAAAATTAGTTACTAGCCAGTGACCAATCAACTGGAAGCACGTTAACATTGTACAGACTCTATTCGAACACTAATGCTCGAGTCAGAGCTTATGGCAAAATTTTCTGGAAGTTGATCACTTCAAGTAGTGTTCGTCAATATTGTCCGCTTCCTTCATTTTCATTTGATTTTGTCATAGGAATGCTTATAGAGGTAATACTTCCATATCCTGACTTTCCAAAGTTGATCTATCAGGAGGTTTACTTGTTGACCTGTAGTACGGAGACGATATAGTTCTGTATGGCGAAGACGCTAACAAAAAGCATTTTACCGTCCACCTTATGCAAAAATGCTAGCATGTCCGGGATGCGGTTTTCTTCATTCAAATGCAAAGTTTTACTTCAGGATTGGCTTGCATCTGCGTCTGAATTAGTGATAGAGAGTGAAATAATCGAGTGTGTCGACCACCACTTATCCCGGAATTCCCATCAGTGCTGATGGTCTGGTGTGTGACGAAAAGTTGGCACAAATTTTGAAGGCTCGATTGGTTTTTGAAGACTTGGATCAAATAGTGGTGTAGGCGAGATATTCGTCTTCCAAACAAAGGACGAGTTTACTGCTTGACAGTTTGCTCCGTCCTACTTTATAGGTGTAAAAAATGGTCATTAAGAATAGCGAATGTTTGTAGGTTATTGGTATACGACTACTATAGGTATCTACGAAGGACTGCTAGCGTATTTTGGAACCACGGAGTAAGCAATGCCTGAGTTAGGAATAGAGTCCTAGATAAAGACGGAAAATCGATCGATGAGCTAGTAAGTCTTCATCAACTGAGGTGGTTATGAGGTGTTACGTGTGCCTAACCACCGTCTACCTCGGGTGGTTTTCTGGTGCAGGAGCAGGCTGGAAGAAAGCCAGAGGTAGCCAAACCAAGACATGGCATTATTCCACTGCCAATCGGGCTTGGCGTTGTGAATAGTTATGGACTATGTGGCTGGAGTCTTTGTGATTGTGAATGGCATGGCTCAAAATCGTTTGGAACAACACAGGTGCATTTATTCTTTGACTAACCCGAATCCTAACATTATAAGTTCCTCACAACTTATTTTTGTTTTTATTTCGCTAATTTACATTTTCTTTTCGAGTCGTATCTACGATGCCTATTATTATTACCATTGATACTGTTACTACATCTATTACTCCAGGATTTCGCGTCTTAAACCAATGTATGTACGTACCAGGTTCTACGTTGTGACTGACTAAGTAAAACCGATAGTAGATATTAGTTTCTTAACCTATTGAACTGAAGTGAGAAGACGCACTATTAGTTCAGACTTTAATTAGGACTGTAAAGTTATAAACACCAGGATGTTTATGAAAATCACATCTAGAAAATAATGCCGATTTATAATGCATCATTCTTATAAGCTATTTAAACCCACTTTAATTGATTTAGATTTCTCAATAGAAGCACGTAACTCTTCGATTGTCCGCTTCACGGTCTGTAATCTAGATATCATACAATCCACCTGCTTCTCATCGTTCGTAACGCGTTCACGTAACTTGTTATTGACTTCTCGCAGTTGAGCTGCCCGATCACCTGATAATTTTAACTCCTGCTCTTCTTCATGTGTAGCAGATAATATATGTTGTATGAGAGCAGTGGTTTTTAAATAGATATTACTTGTATCCGCGTTGAATTCATCCCTGAACACATCAGACATTATCCAAAACAACCAATCATATCCTAAAAACAAGTTACAGATAGGAATAAAGTGTACAATACCCTATTATGGTTGCTAATGGCGCTAATATTTCCAGATGAGTTACCCTTATGATTTTGAGTACGTCGTCATATAAATATATATGAAGAGCGTAAAAAGACTAGTCATGTAAATTGTATGACCTATTTTACTCAGTTTTCATTTCAAATAAATCAGTCTTTCATAGGAAGATTATACATCCCTCTTAAGTATTATTTTTGGGGAAATCTCATAACACAGTCTATATGGCTGAACAAACAGTTCCTAAATCTTATGCTGAGATATCTTAAAAGTCAAAAATAACAAATGGCTAATCAGAGGTTTAAGGGTTGTCTTACCCTTCTTTGTAGAAAACAAAACACTTAGGAGAAGTATGAATATCGAACACTAAAAGTGGGAAAGTGAGCTACAATTATTATTCCATATAAGACAGGGATGGTATCGTGGTAAACGAGAACTCAAGTGGGGGAAACCTATTTATTATTCAGTGCAAAATTACAGAATGCGTTCATAAAACATGGAAACCATACAATAAGTACACTATTCGCACATCTTCCTTCATTTATCCTTCACATACTTCACGATTCTACCAATTGTTGTTATTACAATTCCTCTGTTTCCTTTCCTGTTCTTTTTATTTCAATCTGCTTCCAACCAGGCATTCCACTTTCGATTGCTGCTACATACAACTTCTACCCGTCAGCATAAGTAGCATACACCAAAGTATGGTTGAAAAAATGCCTCAAATCATCAGATCATATGTTTTAATTTACTCCTGACTGAAATTAGGGTAAATCAATAGTATACAATTAACCTCTTGGGTATTGTTCACTTGAATTGAATAGTCTAAGCAAATTTTCTGAAGTCCTTAGGAAAGAAATTCATTATCTGTCTAGTAGTAAACATAGTGCCTCACAAATACATACTACATTACTTCGGCTGTTCATTTGCATGTGCCAAGGTCGCTAACTGTAGGCGCTGGTGACTCATCACTACTAGGCACAAAGGCTTCGTAGGTGAATCTTTCTGTATAACCCACAACTGTGTGATACCACATTGTCTTACACGAAAGCAACGGTAACTATTATCCACTATAATTTTAGCACCTTGTTTTTCAGGAAAAAGGAAATCAGCAACTAATAGTCGACCAACTAGAAAAATAACGCTGAGCCAGTACCCTTTTGAAATCTACAGAAACATGTATGTGAAAGGTTATACATACGCATATATAAATTCCAGGAGAGAAAGGAATATGAATTCTACGTCACATCAACAACTGAAAACCCTCGTGACATAAAAAACATTTGTAACAGAAAATTTACTTATTTATTTGAACACATGAATATTGGTACAAGAGAGCGCCAATATATATGCGCTACACAAAACAATGAGAATTCGAAGAGAAATAGAAAAAAAAACTAAAGAGCGCAAAAGAAAAATAGAACAATGACGAAGAGATTGGAGTAAGGTAGTGTGGTAGTAACGACGGAACGAAAAGGTACAATCAGAAGAAATCTTTCAGGTAAAGGAGACACAACCACTTTTTATGAAGAAAGTAAAAGAAGGTTACAGCAGGATCGCCACTGGCTTCTATTCTGAGCCATATCTGATAACGTCTCTAGCCACTGTGTAGCACCATCTCTCAGACCCCAACCAGGGAGTCGTGAAGGACCGACAGAAGCCAGTCCTTTGCAGCTTTCTTTCATGCCACGACACCATGTCATGCACTGACCACCTCTCCGCTTCTTCCAACCAGTCCCAGAGTCGGCAAATAATGCACGACGTGGAATTCTCTGGGACGACATTCGGAGAACATGTCCAAGCCACCGAAGTCGGTGTTTCAAGATGGTGACACCAATTGAATTATCATCTCTGTGCCCGAACACACGATGCCGAACCTCTGCATTACTGACATGGTGTTGCCACTGGATGTCAGCAATCCTTCGGAGACAGCGATGATCGAACACAGAGAGTCGTCTAACGTCCTCAACTCGGAGAGGCCAGGTTTCACAAGCATAGAGCAAAACTGCTCTCACCGACGCTTTGTAGATCCGGCCTTTTACAGCCAGGCTAAAATCACGAAGGCGCCAAAGGTGGCCCAGATTGGCATAAGCCGCTCTGGCTGTCACTATTCGTGCATTGATCTCATCACTCACACCCCCACCAGCACTTATGCAGCTACCCAGATACACGAACTTCTCAACTACTTCTATCTGCTCACCATCCAGAGTGAGTACAGGATTAGAATCCTGCCAGTCTTGTAGAAGTACTTTGCACTTCAAAGGTGCAAAGCACATACCATACCTACGGACACTGATTGCCAACTGATTAAGTGCGGATTGCATGCCTTGGGCATTATCGCACAGTAAGACAATATCGTCCGCATACTCAAGGTCGAGAAGTCTTTCTCCAGGCAACAGATCCACACCACCATTACTTACATTCATCAGAGCTGTTTCCAGAATGTCATCGATGGCAAAGTTGATGAGGAATGGTGAGATTGGGGCAACCCTGCCTAACCCCACTGCTCGAATGGAACAATGGAGAGAGGTGGTTGTATGCCCTCACTCTGCCTGAGGTGTTTTTATATAGGGCTTTCAGGATGTTAATAAACTTCTCAGGCACACCCTTCTTCAATAGACAATCCCAGAGAACAGTCCTGTCCAACGAATCGAAGGCAGCCCTGATGTCAAGAAACACTACGATTGTTGGCCTCCCCAGAGCATCCTGTCATTTTTGTCCTGCAAACTGAGAGGAAGGTCAGGGTTGTCTATAGGTGATTGGACCCAGGACAAAAATGACAGGATGCTCTGGGGTGAATTTAACAAGAAGCTTGAACTTCCTAGAATACAGCCTCTGACGATCACACGGCTCACTCGTGGAAAGGAATCTAAGCATCAAAATCACCCAAGGCTACTTCGTGTAACACTTAAGAATGCTACCGACGTAGAGGATATCCTGCTAGCTAGTCATTTACTGAAATCCGATGGGAACGTAAGAATACTGCCCGACATACCGTATTCTGAGCGCAATCTCACCCGGAACACCCCTAAAGAATCTCGTGAGATTTTCCGCGGAAGAAATATAATTGTGCAAGGTGTACCGGAAAACACGAACCCTAGTCAAGCAAACTCTGATAATAAGGGAATGGAAATTCATCAAGCAGTCCTTCAGGTTCAAAAACATACTGACTCAACATGTGACGAGACTAGCCAAGAAGGACGGTGATTCTAGACCCCGGCTAATGAGGATAACTTTCCCATCCTCTCATATGGCGGCTGCAACTCTGGAAGCATTTCGTGCCAACAGACGTCGACTGCCACCTGGAATCCACATGCACCCGGACAGGCCATATGAAGCCAGGACCAAGCACAAAGGCAAGTTGGGGCTGACCATTCCACTTGTGGACTGTCTTGTTCATAAAAAAACGTGTAAAGGTCAGCGCCTACCAACTCGACAAACCTTATATAGGTAGACTACCTGTTCATTCACGTAAGGCTCATACAGACAAACAGGAATGAGAAGCTCACACGTTTCAAATTGAAGGCATAAACTGCTTATACATGAACGCGGCGAGTCTACCACATAAAATCAGTCAGTCAGTCAGTAACAACGTAGAACTTCGTACGTACGTACATCAGTTCGAGTTGCCACATCACATTAGCACAGAGATGCAGTTGTCGATTCAAATCCCGTAGTGGTAGAGGTGCTAAGAGTATAAGCAGTAATCGGGAAGATTAAGGTTTGGAGATGTTATTTAAAGAGTATAATCCAGTGAAATAAATTTGGAAAGAGGAAAAAAGGGACATGAAGAATTCAGAAGATTAGAATTTGGGAGAACACAGAGAGTGGATGCACCTGCGCCATTGCAAACGATTTTGAGCCATGTCATTCAGGGTCTCTAACCATCGGTTGCTATCATCTCGCGGTCCCCAACCAGGTAGTCTACACCTACCAACATGACTCAGTCCACTTGTCAGTGACTTCATGGACTTGTGCCATGTTTTGGTCTGGCCGCCCCTAGCTTTCTTCCAACCTACTCCTATACCACTGAACATCGCACGTCGAGGCAGTCGGTCGTTGGGCATACGTAACACGTGTCCCAGCCATCTCAACTGATGAAGTTTCACTACGTCATCAATTGATTTGCCATCCTTACCTAGTACCCGTTTCCTAACAACTGTGTTACTTACTCGATGGTCCCATGATATACGAGCAATGTTTCGAAGACACCTATGATCAAATACTAGTAACCTACGAATATCCTCTACTCTTACCGGCCATGTTTCACTGCCATAAAGTAGGACGGAACGAACTGCTGCGCAGTAAACCCGTCCTTTGGTTGATAGACGGATATCTCGCCTACGCCATAAATGACGCAAGTTGGCAAAAGCTAGTCGAGCCTTCTGTATCCGTGCTGAGATTTCGTCACACACCAGACCACAAGGGCTGATGAGACTTCCAAGATAAGTGAAGCGGTCGACACGCTCAACTACTTCACTCCCTATCACTAGTTCGGGTGTCGATGTAACCCAATCCTGAAGCAACATTTTGCATTTCGAGGGGGAGAATCGCATCCCGAACATGCTTGCATTGTTGCTTAGAGTGGTCAGAAGACTCTGCATTTTGTCAGCGTCTTCACCAAATAAAACTATGTCATCAGCATATTCTAAGTCAACAAGTGAACCTCCTGGTAGAAGTTCAACCCCTGGAAATTTAGATGAGGAGAGTGTTATCTCTAAAAGTACGTCAACGACAAAGTTGAACAAGAATGGGGAGAGTGGACAGCCCTGACGAACACCACTTGAGGTAATCAATTCTGATGACAGTTCGCCATAAGCTCTCACTCGACCAGTTGTGTTCGAGTAGAGAGCCTTTATAAGGTTAATGTACTTCTTTGGTACTCCTTTCAGTGACAAACACTGCCATAGAACCTCACGATCAACAGAGTCGAATGCCGC